GTCTGTTTTTGAGCAACAAGCAGCTCAATCAAAACGTTCTGGTTTCGCATAAGATCTTGCATAGTTGTCTGCATGAATGACATGAACTCCATCATACTTTGTTGAAGATTACATATAATTGTTTCAAGTTTGTTTGTAGACGGTTCATCTGGTTGATGAGGGGAAACTGATGATCTTGGATTGGTGGGAGCGGTACTTTTAAGACCCAATTTTAGAGCCGTTGCATAGCTTGCGGATTTGTTGGTGACCTCATTATTGGCTAAAGATTTAACATCAATATACCTCGGACAATTTAGAGATTTTAGTCCAGAGCTTGGTGCTACGGCTTTTATGATGGCGACAAGTGAAGTACATCGATCGGATAGGAGAGATGTTACGCCTAACAAGCTTCCGTACGTCGCGGCTAAGATCATGCGTTTGAGGGTTAATCATTCTTTAAAAATTACTCTAAACTCATAGGAACTGATACTAATATAAGCAAAGACCTTATCATGTCACCAGATTATATTAATAGCTGTTTAGATAAAAATTTAGCTTTCTTAAAACCGAATCCTAATTCAGCAGCGTATCGGGCAGATCGCAAGCGAGATCTTTTTGCAATGATGCGGGAATTGGGAAGACCCACAAGGTTTTTAACAATGAGTGCAAACGAAATCGGTTCGAAAAAGCTATTACAGACTCTACATCATTTGAAAGAGCGCGTACAATTAATAGAAGAACAGATAGAAAATCTGAATTATTTCGAAAAAACAACGTTGGTTAACGAAGATGCTGTAACCTGCGCACTGCATTTCGAGAAATTAATAAATGTTATCATTTCGATTTTGCAATCGCGAAGATATAGTCCTTTGGAAAATATTGTGTGCTGTATTACTTTAAGCGCATCAACACAGTGGTAGTCCACATGTCCATTCACTAATATGGTTAGATAATGCACCAAAAGATCCACTGGGCGCAGACTAGGATGCTACTGTGGCCCTTATAGATGCTTTGGTCTCTGTCGATTCATCGGAAGCTTCCGTAAACATTAAACTTCAAACCAACAAACACACCTTCACGTGCTTCAAAAAGAATCGTCCCAATCAAACTCCTCAATGTCGTTTCGATGCACTGTTCATGCCAATGAGGAAAACCGTTATTCTTATACCATTAGAAAAAGAACATATACATATAAAGGAACTCAAAAATCGTTACAAGCGAATAAAGAAAAACCTGGAAGACAATGATTATCTTAGTATAGATCATTTCTATGACTGCAATGACATTTCTTCAGATGAAGAATACACAAGCATCCTTCGAGCTGCCATAAGCAGGCCACGAGTTTTTGTGAAACGTATTCCTTCTGAAAAGTTGAATAATTACTTCAATCCTTTCCTATTGAATGTACTGGGGTCAAACTTGGACTTTCAATACATAATCGAAGAGTATTCATGTGCACAGTACGTTGTGGAATATGTCAACAAAACCAACAGGGGCATCAGCACCTTGCAGAGACAACTCATAGAAGTTATTGACGAACATCCTGAGTTTGACATTGTTGAAGCGTTCAAAAAAAACTCAGCGTGGACGTGCTTAATAGCATTGAAATGACAAGTCAAGAGGCTTTTTTTGCTACGCTTGCCTATGTGTAAAACATCAGTAGGAGTCGTTTTCATATCAACAATCTGGCCACAAGAACGTAAAAGAATCAGGAAAACGAATAAAGAACTCGAAGAACTTAGCGGTGACTGTACGGACATTTGGAAACAAAAGTGGTTTGACAAGTACGAGAAAAGGCCAGCAGAACTCGAGGACGTAACTTTAGCACAGTTCGTATTCAAATATAACATCATCTCCAAGGGAAAAATCACAGAACGGAAAGACCCACGAATAATCAGGTACAGAAATTACGATATGGCGAAAGACTTGACCGATTATAAAAGAGAAATAGTAACTTTACATCTCAAGTTTAGAAATGAAGAAAATGATGTGATGAGTGACATGAAATTTCTGAAATTATTCGACGAAAATGAGGCAGTAAGAATGGAACGGAGGAAAGAATTCAAATCGAACTTGGATGGAAATCGAAAACGATGGAAATCTGCGCTCATCTATGTCGTGAAAAGCTTCTTGATGATAACAATCAAAATCCGATTAATATCCATCAAGAACCTGATCCATATGAACAACTCCTCCGCGATCCACATTCAATGGTCAATCTTGATATACGACAAGCATCTTTGAATAAACTTGGAGCTATTGCGAGGTAAAAAAAAAAACATCATGAATAACGAGAAATTCAATGATTTGATGAGATCAACAAATCAGGAACAATTCGAATTACTGCAACATTGCATATGGTTGAATCAAACCGAAAACGAGCCCCCGTTATATTTATTCCTAACAGGCCCGGCTGGATGCGGCAGAACATTGATAAGTTGATAATGGAGATTTTCAATCAATTCTCAGACACGGAAGGATACTTGAATGCTTATATAGCTTGTGCATCAACAGGAAAAGCAGCTGTAGCTATTGGAGGGACGACAGTTCATACGGCGTTCAATATATCACCAACTACTCAAATTCCATTATCAAATGAGGTGAAAGGATTATACAGAACACTTTTCAAATGCGTTAAAGTGATCGTTATGGATGAAGTTAATATGATTGGTGCAGAGATGTTGGAACGGATCGATTTACGACTTAGAGAGATAACAGGTAATCTTGATACGCATTTCGGGGGTATGAATATGATTTTCATAGAAGACCTGAGACAGTTACCACCAGTGAGGGCTACACCCATTTATAAACAGAAAATACAAAAAATATGTGGTAATCAGTTACGGAGAAGTATCAACTTCCACGAACTGACACAGGTGATGAGACAAGAAAACGAGCTTTTCTCATCAGCATTAACCAAGTTCGGCATCGGGGAAATTTTGAATGCAGAGCAACTGGATCTCATTGAATCGAGGTTCTGCACAAAAGAGGAAGCACAGGAACTCTCCCCAAGTGGGATCCGACTATTCTTTGATAATCATTCAGCAGATGCTTACAATCTTGCTGTATTGAGCTCCTCGGAAAACAAAACGACTTCGAATCCTGATTATGAGATACTAGGGTGTGGTGACGATTTCGAAAAAGTGCGAGTTGCCAGAGGGAAACTACATCAATTGTACTCAATTGATACTGGTGTACTACCGTACGAGATAACTTTTGCATTAAACAAACCATACCTAATAACAACGAACATTGATCTAGCAGACGGATTAGCAAATGGAGCGGTTGGACAACTGATACATGTTGAGTTAGATGATCAAAACCACAAAGTGATTAGAGTTTGGCTAAATTTTCCAAGGGGTGTCGGTAAGCATACACTTAGTAAAACAGCCCAATACGTTACTATGCTAGGAATAAGTAATCAGGCAACTCCTATAGGTCGTAGATCGGCGACGTTTCCATTATACAACACAAAATCACACAAATCAATCCAAGCAAAAAGAAATCATTTTCCTTTAGAACCAGCATGCGCAATGACTATTCATAAGTCTCAAGGAGGAACTTATGATGGTGTCTTGTATACATACAGCAAAAAACATTCGCAATCTTTAGTTTATGTCACACTCTCGAGAGTTACAAGTCCTGATGGACTTCATATTGTCCCTAAGGAAAATCAGGCAATATTCTTTCATGGACGACGAGAAGACACGTCAGTAGCAGGATTGAGAAAGGAATTTGAAAAACTTTCCACAGTTCGTTTGAAAACACGCGATGAAATCCGTCTTGAAAAAATTGAGGAAAGGAGAAATGAGTATATTCTCATTTAATTGTCAGAGTATTGAAAAACCCGCGAGAGATTTTCATGGTAATATTTTCAGGAGTTCCGATATATTTTTGTTGTCTGAAACTTGGCTTGAAAGTGGAAAACAAGTTCACTTTGATAATTTTGATTGCATTGTACAATACAAAAGACCAGGTATTAGAGCAGGTGGAGTAGAAATATATAAGAATAATGATAAGCTGCACAACGCTGTAACGAAAAATAGTAATATTTATACACGCAGTGCCGAGTTTGAAAATTACTATGAGTTGCCAATCATCGTTACCGGAGATTTGAATGTCAATTTCGCGAGTAAAGAATCGTTGGAACTTTTGAAATTTTTCAAAGAAGTCTTTGATCTCGATATTGTCAACGATATGGTACAACTAGACAGGAAACGACAATAGACGCAGTTTTCGCACGATTTATCAACAATTTGATCGCAAATGTATATATTTCCCACTTTAGCTACCGAAAGCCGATTATTAGCATATTAGGAAATAACCATTGTGAGAGTGATCCTGAAAATGTCATGTGAATAACAGTAATTATAACTACATTTTATCAATGTTTAATAAAAAATTTATGAGTAATATTTACGCTTTTCTGAAAAAAATATGGAAACCTGAATTTAACCTGAGAGAGGGGGGAGAGATCTAAGCCGGGACTCGAATGCATGGAACAACCAACTTAGAAGTTTCACTTCTGCCGTGCGTGAGTCTGACACACACAGTTTTTTTTAATTAGAAGGACAGGAAGTAGTTCGAGTAGTTGTAGTTCGAACAAACGAACCTAAAAAGGTCGTATTGTACATATGTCGAACTATAACTATAAGTTGGCTAACATACCGCAGTTTCTCTTCCCTCTCCTTGTCATGACGCAAATTGGTCTGATTGATCCGCCAAAATATTGTTTTTCTTTTTATTCGATTTTAGTGAAACCCAATAACATAAATTAAAAATACCAGATTATATGTAATACTGACTTCGACTATGGGCGCTAAGTTTGAACTTGACTAACTATCGATGCCCTAATCCGTTCCGCGACATACCCACCACCGTGAAGCAGCCGCATTTACCACGTCCAGGACAGCTAGCTTCGAAGCGGGCCGCATTGTCGTCTTGGCTCGATCGTTAGTCCGCACTGCCGCTCAACTAGGTACTCCATCTCTCCCGGTGAACACTTCTTCCAGGACGCCTCGTTACCACTCTCTTCGTGGTATGGCTGGATCACAGATGAACACCAAGTCTCCTTGACGAATGGGTTCGACGTGCTTGCACCATCTCTCCCTGCGCACAAGAGTCGGCAGGTACTCATGCACCCATCGCTCCCAAAATCGAACCTGCATCATCCTCGCTATGCGCCACTGCTTCCTGGTAGCGCATCTTACGGACTCCTGTCCGTCATCCTTGGGAAGATGTGGACCATCGGGTGCTCCCTTCTGCAAGTCGTTGGGTGACAGTGGAGCCTCCTGGTCCACCGTCACTGGAAGATGAGTGAGCGGACGAGACTTCCTATGCTCTCCGTCGGAGAGTCTCCGCTTCAATCAGCAGGTTCTCCAGTACGTGCTCTTTGGGCGCGATTTCCTTCATCGTGTGCCCCAGCATCTTCTTCACGCACTGCACCATCTTTTCCCAGGCGCCACCTTCAACTGGGTTCGCTAGGCAATTGAAGATCCATTCGACTTCTTTAGGCGACAGCTCGTCCTGGATCGAGCTACGAAGTTCTTTCCATTGTCGCTCCTAATCCTGACGACTGGTTCACGTCGGCTCATGAAGTTCCTTACAGCGATTATGCAGGAATCGGTAGACAAATCGTGAGCCATCTCCAAGTGGATAGCTCTTGTGGTCAGACACGTACAAAGTGCCACCCACGTCTTCTCCGTACGACGTCCAACCGTCACAAATAGCGGTCCAAAATAGTCTAATCCGGTAAGCTTAATGAGCCATCCGTTGGCCTCCAGCCGGTCCTCTGGCCGGGGACCAATCTCGGGCTGAGTTGCTCGTGCTCTTCGCAGCTTACAAACGTTGCTCTTGCTCACCACCCTTCGTAGCAGCCTCCGTAAGTTCGTAATCCAGAACTTCTGCCGGATCGCTCCGGTGGTTGCCTCCGTGTTTTGGTGGCACATCCTCTCGTGGTGATGCTGCACGATCATCTCCGCCAAAGCCTCCTCGTGAGACCATATGATCGGCCGACATGCGCTGTATGTCGCGTCGTCGATCCTTCCGCTGGCTCACATTACTCCGTCCTCGTCGAAGTATGGGGACAGTCCATGCAGTCGACTGCTCTTGGCGGCTTTTCCTTGGCTGTCCTCAGCAAACGCTTTTCGCTGAGATTGCCGTACCACTGCGCGCTCAGCTTTAGCGCACTCCATCGACGTCAGTCCGTGATCCTCTCCACCGTATCGTGGTCCACGACACCGTCGCATGAATCTGAGAACCCATACGCTGCTCCTCACCAGTCGATTGTAGTTGGAGAATCTCTACAAGGATACGCAGTTTACCAAAACTCACACTGACATTTCATTTCCTCTTCGTTGGTCGTCGGAGGAATCCATCCTACCCTCGATCTTGGCCAGCTCTCCTCTGGTCCTCGTAGAAATGGTGGACCGCTTAGCCATCGCGAACCGATGCTCAGGTCCACGGCTTTGCGCGGTCTCGTCGCGTCATCTGCCACGTTTTCGGCAGATGGAATCCATCTCCACTGGGACGCCTCCGTGGATTTCAAGATCTCTACCACCCGGTTACCGACGAACTGCTTGTATCTCCGGTGGGTGCAGCACACACAGTCTTAGTCTTGCACAGTCTTACAGTCCGTCCATAAAACGCAGCTGATCGACATAGTCCTTATCGGAGCGCATTTCGTCTTGGAGCTTATGAAATGCGCCCGCACGACTCCGTTCTCGAAAGTGGCCCGCCAATAGGCCGCTGCTGCGAACGCCGACTGACTGGAGTCCACGAAGATGAGCAGCAGTAGCATTCGCACGCGTCCACAGCCAAAGTAGTAGCGTGGAAATCGGAACTCTTCGATTTTGCTCATTCCTTGCCGCCAGTCCTCAAAGGCTGCGGCCAAATTATCTGGTAGCGGCTCGTCCCAGTTGACTCCTCTCCGCCAAATCTCTCTTATTACCAATTTGGCAATCACTATGTAGCAGCTCAGGAATCCAATCGGAACGCTTAGGAACTCCCTCTTGGTTGGGACGCGTTCGCCTGTCATCACGCTTCTCGGGATTCGATATTATTTGACGCCGAGCTTGAAGTCATCTGTAGCCGGCTGCCAAGACATTCCTAGTACCTTCTCTTCAGCTTCGGTCCATTTGACGCCAGCGATGGATTCAAGTGGGTTCAATCGACACAAGTCAAATCCTGCATCTGCATGAATTTCTCTTATCCGAGTCGAAATGGCGATAGCTTCTTCTTCACTGGTGAAACTGTTGACGTAGTCGTCCACATGGTGGTATTCTTTAATTGCCAGGGCTGCTCGCGGATCAGTGCTAGTGTACTACTACACATAGTCTGCCGAACATGGTGAGCAAGCTGCTCCGAATGTCATTATTTGCTTCTCGTATATGGCCGGCTCCCGCTGGTCATATCCGTTACTTCACAGGAACCTCTGGGCCCATCTGTCCTGTGACTGCATCAGTACCTAATGAAACATCTCTTTGATGTGTGCACAAATCCCAGCTGCTCCTTCCAGAAAATGGAAGAGCACTGCTGGGAGGGGCTTGTAGCGCTGTAGGCCTTTCATTAGCGCTGAATTAAGGGACACGTCGTTCATCTTGGCAGCCGCGTCGAAGACCAGCCGGATTTTTCCAGGTTTCAGGTTTTCCACCCCGAAGTGCGGCAGGTACCATAACTTGCCTTCCTGGAACATCTTGACTTCCTGGGGCTCCAGTCGTCGTGCATACCTTTGTTGACGTTATCGTTCATTATGCCCTTATCGGCCCGCGCGAAGTCCACAACGCGCCACATTTTTCCCTCGATGTTGACGAGTCTCTTGAGCGCTATATTGTAGCTCTCTTGCAGTCTCACCTCGTCGTCTCTCCATAGCATCCCGGTCTCATAACGTCGCTTAGTCGTCTCCTCCAGAATACTCAGGGCCCGTGCGTCGCCGCCATCTGCGACTCACGGTGTCAGTTCCACTCCGCCAGCTGCGACTAGCTGTGACGGCTTTACTCCGAAATACTCGATCTTGAAATAGTCGCTGACCATCTTCTCAAGAGGATTATGTTGGGGCACGTTTAGGAGGCACGAACTCTGGAGCGGTGAGCTCGCCTTTCCGTTAACCGGTCCATACACCACCCATCCAAGAGCGGTGGCTGCTGCAAGTGGTCCTCCAGATCCATAGCTTGTTGTTCTGAGGGGTGTTCCAAGATGCGCATGATCCAGTCCAATAAGGATCCTTGGCGTCACATTGTTGTACGGCTTCACAACAACATGCGGTAGACGCGCATTCGCCTTCACTGCCTTTACATCCCGACTCAGGCTATGCCTCGGAGGGTTCAAATTGGCCACTCCGTACACGTCTTTCAGCCCATAGCGCTTTGGCCTGCCCGCTGCACTGATCTGGTTCACTGATCTGGACCACTTTCGTGTGCTCTTTGGCAGATTTCCCACCAAGCCACTGCACGTTCAGTTGGCGACTCTCGTCTTATAGGTTCAAGCTGCGGATGAGTTCGTCGTCGATGAGCGTGACAGACGATCCTTCATCCAGCAGTGCATAGGCGTCGACTTGCGCATTCTCCCCGTAAAGCGTCTCGGGTAGAATCCGGAATAGTAGGTGGCATCCAATCGAGTCAACGCAGCTCTGGTTTTAATGCGGCAATTCCTGGCGGTCCTGGATCCTCGCGAACTCGATCCGCGTCGTTGTAGAAACGCTATTGAATTTCTTGCAGTCTTTGATCTGGTGTTGTCCCTCGCATATAGGGAAACATCTGGGGCGGTCGGCATACCACTCCTCCTCGAGAACACTATTCGCGTACAGGATCCTTCGGTTCGGTTGCTCCTTGGCTCCAGCGTCCGTGACAGTGCACACCAGTCTGGCGAATTCATGAAGCCATTCGCTCAGGTGCACCACTGTCGGATACGGATTTATCGTGACCGCGAGCTTCGCCCAGTCCAACCTCTTGCTCAGCGGCAACTTGGCGATCAGCTCCTTTATTAGGGTTCCCTAGCTGGTTGCCGATCGTGGTTGACTGCAGGAACGCTGCCAGGTTTCTCACCTTTGTCGCGAACGGCAAGATTCTTGTGATGTTGGCCTCCAAAATTGGCTGCACATCGCGCACGCTATCCAGTTGACTACGGATAAGTAGCTGCGGACGTCCATACCGGAATCGAAGCTGCTCCATGACAACTTCTATGTTGCTGGGATGGATGAGTAACGACGTCACTGTCCCGCGGGCCTCGCCCTTCAAGGGCTTTTACTAGCCTCTGGCTGTTTTCCAATGCGGTAAGCTGCCGTTGTCTCCGTGAACGCGGACACGGATATTGGATATTCTTCTGGCTGACACTCGAAATCAGGAAAATCAGGCAATCTACGTAGCGTCCATCCAGGTGTGCTCGTCGTCGCCACTCCATATGACTGGGGCGATGGAGCAAATACCTCCAAATTGTGTGTCGGCTCCCTTGGCGGAAGAACATAGTCCATGAACCTTATGATGATGAACCTGATGTGCAGCCTGACCGTGGCATGTTTTGTGTTTTGTGGGCATCTCGATCACGGGGAATGCCTTTAAACAAAAACTGGACAATAGTTAAATTTCGGTTTGTTCGTTTTATTCTGAAAGAGTTACAATAGCTATTAACATAGAACAATAGCTATAAACAATAGTTATAGAACAATTTTCTAAGGTGCCATTTACATCAGTGCATGCCAGAATATCGGACCAACCAAAAGTATCGATAAGGCTATTAAGTTTTTGAAAATTATCTTTACGGAAACAGCGAATCTTATTTGCCAGGCATGGAAACTTCTGATCAATGCCAGGAAGGGTTTATTTGAAACCTCAAGCGTGGGGTGATATGGATCGCCTGGGGTTAAAAGGGTCAAGGCTCTGGAAGAAGTGGTACCATCAGGATCAGATACAAAATATAAGTCTAACATGGTTAATTTGACCTAGGGACATGCCCGCGCGGTCATTGTGCGTAATAAGTGATAAAGAAGGTGAGCTATCGACATTAGACCGCTTTAGTTCTGGGATATTAAAGTCACCCAGGGCTACATGCTGGTCACAATCGGACGTTAGATTAAAAACGGATTGAATAGCGGACAAATTATGCCAGTATGTGGGCTTTTCACACGAAGGAGGCATATAGGAACAGGTTACATGCCCATTGCCCCCGATCTTCCTTTGTTATTAGATTGCTCTTTCATTCGGAAAATGAAAAGTCATATACATGTGTATAACGAGATTAGTTTATCTCACACTTCGAATAACAAAACAAAAAGGTGGCTGCTTAATATTTAAAAAAATGGGCGAAAACGAAAGAAATGGTCTTGCCTCTTCGACGTTATAAATTCGATTATATTTTTCTCTAATCTTAAGCCTAACTTATCTATTGCGGCGAAGCGGGGCGAATTCGCACAAGAGCGAATATGAGCTTTCGCTCCCGCTCCGCCCTAAGCTATCTAAGAGTAAATTTACAGACTAACAACTAACAAATACAATTTAGCTATAACTATAATTCAAAATTTTCGACTTCAATAAAATACAAATTTTCGACTTTAATAAATACAAATCAATTTACAACAAGTGTGTCAATTAAAATAACAATTTTTCGTGTTTTCCCTATTATCGTCAATCTTGCTAATCAGATTGCATTTTGTTGTTGGATTGCCGAAAAATTTTCACTACAAGAACTTTATTAGGGTTTTTGTTTCTGGCAAAATGGTCGACTTGAAGCGATGAATTTCTTCTTCGCAGAACATTTTCTAATAATGAAGTAAAGCATTATTTTTCATTATATATCATTGATGACAATAATGATGCGTTAGGGCGGGATGATGATTTATTCTTCTTCCCTACTGAATCGCTTTAGTGTTTTTAAAAAAATTCGAGAATTGGGCCTGCCGATAGAATGTATTAACCCCGAAAAGTGATCAGAGGTGTCATAAAAAATCGTAAAAATTCGGGATAATTCTCCACGAAGAGTGAGACCCACATGTAGTCAAGCATGAATACCTGGGTATTACGTTTGATAGGCGCCTTACTTTTGCGTCCAACACCAAGCATGTTATTGGCAGCCTGAAAGACAAGTTTCGACACCTATATTGGTTAGTTAACTTTAAAACTGAGAGACTAGTTCGCGTAGAAACAGACAGACAGACAGATGTGCTCATATCAACTCAGGAGGTTATCCTGATCAAGAATATGTATACTTTATAGGGTCGGAGATGCCTCCTTCACTGCGTTGCACAATTTTGGGACAAAATTATAATACCCTCTGCAAGAGTATAACATAAAAGGACGGCTGTAGTCGAGTATATAGCCGAGCCGACTATATTATTCCCGTGTCTCATCTTTTCCACCCACAATGTAACTAACCTTTACATTTAATACTTTAACGGTAAGGATTCACGATCGGTCATAAGATTAAAAACGGATTGAATAGCAGACAAATGATGCCAATATGTGGGCGGTTCAGACGAGGCGGTAAATACAGGTATTAAGATTTAGCGGACAAAATGATTTTAATACAAATAAATTCTATGTCACCAAACTCTTGTGATTTCACCTCTTCAGAAGCAAGTTGGGAGTCTACCGAAGTCAGGACTCCTTTATATATTTATATTTATATTTATATTTATATTTATATTTATATTTATATTTATATTTATATTTATATTTATATTTATATTTATATTTATATTTATATTTATATTTATATTTATATTTATATTTATATTTATATTTATATTTATATTTATATTTATATTTATATTTATATTTATATTTATATTTATATTTATATTTATATTTATATTTATATTTATATTTATATTTATATTTATATTTATATTTATATTTATATTTATATTTATATTTATATTTATATTTATATTTATATTTATATTTATATTTATATTTATATTTATATTTATATTTATATTTATATTTATATTTATATTTATATTTATATTTATATTTATATTTATATTTATATTTATATTTATATTTATATTTATATTTATATTTATATTTATATTTATATTTATATTTATATTTATATTTATATTTATATTTATATTTATATTTATATTTATATTTATATTTATATTTATATTTATATTTATATTTATATTTATATTTATATTTATATTTATATTTATAAAATATAAGCCGAAAAACAAATAAATGTTTGGATGGAGGAATCACCTGTATGGTGAAAAGGGTTTTTGTTTCGCAGGTACAAGAACTGCAGCATCAGTCTGTGCCGATGGTCCGGACTGTTGAATACCTTTTTGGGTGACTCTGACGTTTCGTTTACTAGGACCTGTGGTATCACTTGAAGAGATACCACGGAGGACATATCAGATAATTGCTCATTTTCCTTGAGAAATTCGGACGGCGAATTGTTCTCAGTTCTAGCTCTTGGGGTGGCTAAAGATATGAGCGGCTGCGTTATTGACGGCTGAGCAGACTGAGGCGGATCACAAACAGCGGATTTTTTACGCTTAGGGGACTCAGATAGCACCTGAAGGCCGCTAAACTGAGTGTCAAGCGCACAGAGCTGGTCAATGATTTTATGAAAACCAGTGATCAACTCTTTAAAACCGTTTTTAGTCTGTCCCATGAACGACCTCATTTCGCCTTGGACAGCACAATTTTCACAACAATAATATATACCAGACCTACGGGAAATGGCATCCGAAACTGAGGCAGTGAACCCGGCACACTTGGCGCGTACCACGTTTTCACATAGCCAGAAATGAATGGTAGGCTGGGATGAGGAGATTCTCTTATTACAAGACTTCATTGAGCAGATCAGTTTAAATTCCATTTAAATAATAATAATTAATAATTAAATATAAAAAAATCTATAAAAAGTTTAAAATCAATTTAGCTTGATACACTTTGCCAAATATAACCAAAGCGGGAGCTTTGAAGAGAGCGATTGAAGTAGGCAAAGAAATATTATCTGAGAATTGCAGAAATAGTGACAAGAACCTCTATTGCACCAAAAAAAAAAAGAAAATAAGAGGAAGAAACAGAGCCAAGCTATGCTTGGAATTAAAATTAAACAAACTTTTAATTCGCCTACAAATACACACTTCAAGCGATACGGTTTAAATTAAAAGTGAAGTTTCTTTTATGTGAGTAAACACCGGTTTACAGCAAGATTTATCATAAACGTAGTGCGCACAAAAAGATAAGACCGTTTGCTTAAGAAAACGGAGGACTTACAAGTTGAATATTATTTTCCAGCTACCAAAAAAAACAAAATTACCCAATACCAAATTATTTCCCACCATAATTTGTAAATAGGTATTTTCTTTTTATACCCTTGCAGAGGGTATTATAATTTTGTCCAAAAGTGTGCAACGCAGTGAAGGAGACATCTCCGACCCTACAAAGTATATATATTCTTGATCAGGATCACCTCCTGAGTTGATATGAGCATGTCCGTCTGTCCGTCTGTCCGTCTGTCTGTCTGTCCGTTTCTACGCGAACTAGTCTCTCAGTTTTAAAGCTACCGTCTTGAAACTTTGGACACACCCTTCTTTTCTTTGCACACAGTATATAAGTCGGAACGGCTCGGATCGGCCGACCAAATATCCTATAGCTGCCGTATAACTGATTGATCGGAAATGGTATTTGGTAGAAATATCAACCTTCGTATTTTTGAAGATAGAAGCTTGGGACTTTTTTTTAGATTTTTTATTTTAATAAACAAAGAGCGAGAGCTATTTTTGACAAAACATTACGACATGCCAAATTTCATAAGGATCGGTCGACTACATCTTATAGCTGCCAAAACATATGAACCATATGAAACCATATGACTCTAAAAACACTAAAGTTATACCATTTTCGATCAATCAGTTATATGGCAGCTATAGGATATAGTCGGCCGATCCCGGTCGTTCCAACTTATATACTGCGTGCAAAGAAAAGAAGGGTGTGTGCAAAGTTTCAAGTCGATGGCATTAAAACTGAGAGACTAGTTCGCGTAGAAACAGACAGACAGACGGACATGCTCATATCAACTCAGGAGGTGATCCTTATCCCTTATAATACCCTCTGCAAGGGTATAAAAATTGTTTATGTAATGTCAGCTATTGTTCTTTGCGCACTAGCACATGTTCTGTCTAGATTATTTTGTTACTCTGGACCAGGAGCTTTTTATGAAATTAATGGCACCACAGTACTAATTTAACCAATAACTGAATTTACTGTGTGTTCTGGCAACGTTCTCGCTCCCGCCCATGTGGAATACGTGTAAGGGAAAATTTTGGCTATGCATGACATAGCATAAAGTTTATCTACAGAATAGGCTGTGCCTTTTTACCCTGAAAAAAGTTTACCAATTTTATATTTCCGGTTTTTATGAGCTTGGCATCTAACATCATGTTACGATAGATAGCAAAACTGCTCCCGCGGCATCCGGCAACGCCGAAGTTGCAGAACCGATAGTTTAAGCGGGTGTTGAATCTCTGTTAACTCAGCCGGTAACCATGTGCCTAAGCTTTCTTTTCTATTTGACACTCGAGGGAAGCGGACGAAAAGTGAGAAGATATTAAGATTAAGTTTTGATTATGAATTGTACAACTATTAATTTCTTAGGAATTTAAAGTGCTGCTATCGCAGAGTGGTTACCAACTGTACCACTGTTAGCCCTTGCTGCCCCGTTATAAATGAAGAAAAACAATAAACAATTATCAACAATTATCTACACGGGCGTCTTTACTCGGGCGGCGCTAAACAACTTCGAATTCCCGCAACATTTCTTTAAATTCTTTTCCGGTGTATTCTTGGAGAATACTTGAGTCAGAGAGCGAAATCAACATGGAGATGCCTACTGGATCCGGTGGAGAGGCAAGATTGGTGGCGACATGCTTCCTCTGTGAAGTGGAGGACGAGCACGTGACAGTTGGCTGCATTGGCGCCGGCTGCGTGAGCATGTGCCATCCTAAGTGTGCTGCTCTAGAGGATGGCGGCGTAGGATGGATCTGTGCAGAGTGTGACGTAGACGTCCATGCACAGAACTCGACGTTGATCAGGAAAGAAAAGCTGACCAGCCTGACGGCTGGGGACAACTACCAAAGTTACTCAGGTGGCGACCAGATGAGGATCGGAACTAATGACGTCGACGAGGCCTCGAAGGAAGCGCAGGACCTGCAGACGGAGCTAAGGTTGTTGGAGGAAGAAGATCAGTTGCTGCAGTTGCGACAACAACTTCTACATAGACGAAAGGCGCTCATGGGCAAGCTCCCAAGGGAGAGGCTATCGGAGACTGGCCACGCAGAAAAGATGGCTGGAGCATCTAGTACACGGTACCAGAATGCTGGTACGGACACAATTGGTGAAGTTGCCGTTGTGGAAGGAAACGGCAGTACGCAGAGAGCCCACGCTGGGCCCCCATGGCTCTTTTCTACCAGTGGGGAGGACAACTCAGCTGCTAGGGTCACTAAACCTGTGGGCAGACCATCGTACGAACAATTGACAGCGAGGAAGACTAGCGTGGCTGAGTTGGTGAAGTTTTCCGGAAGGCCGGAGGACTGGCCCTTATTAATCGCAACGTATGAACAGACGACGGAGCTATGCGGATTCACGGATGCCGAGAACCTAATGCGGCTTCGGCATGCGTTGGAAGGACCAGCCAAGAACGCAGTACAAAGTCTAATGCTGCATGCGGACTGTGTTCCGCAGATAATCGCCACGCTAAGAATGCGATTTGGGCGACCCGAAATTATTATTGACTTGTTAGTGACAAGGATTAGACAATTTCCTCAAGTGAGGGAGAATAAGCTTGAAGTGCTGGTTGACTTCTCGGTGGAGGTGCAAAATGTTTGTGCTACGATGAAAGCCTCCAAGTTGGACCAGTACTTAAACAACCCAGCGCTCACGCAGGAGCTAGTGAGCAAGTTGCCATCGATGGTGCAGACATTTTGGGGAATGCACAAAGCCTCTCTCACAGTGTGTACGTTGGCAGAGTTTAGTACGTGGCTTTCGCAGATGGCAGAAGGAGCGAGCCATGTGATAGTCCCAAGCTCGTCGTCAAGAACGGAGAGAAGGGGCACGGTACATACACACACTGTACGCCAAGGCTGTCGGCTGTGCACCCGCAATTGCAGAACCCTGCAAGAGTGTCCAGCATTCCTGGAAATGACGACCCGCGATCGCTGGAATGCTACTCGACGGTGTGGCTTGTGCTGGAGATGTTTCCAGAGCCATAAGGTGGAAAGATGCGGCGTCCCCAATCCTTGCGGAATAGATGGATGCCTAGAACGCCATCATCCCCTGTTGCATCGCGGCAGCACGGCTCCCGTCCAAGCCAGGTGCCATGCACACCGACAAGAAGGTGTGGAAATGCTGTTCAGGGTATTGCCAGTGACGTTGTATGGAAATGGTAGGCAAGTCAACACGTATGCCTTCGGCATGACGACGGGTCATCTCTAACCTTGATCGACGCCCCATTGCTAGAAGACCTTGGAGTGAAGGGACAACCGCAGCCTCTATGTATGCAGTGGACTGCCGGCATGCACCGGTATGAGGACAGCTCGGTCAGACTCGACTTAAGGATCTCCGGCATTGGCCAAACAAAGCAATATGATCTTCGCGACGTTCACTCGGTCCAGTCTCTTGATCTCCCGTCACAGTCGTTGGATATAACCCACCTGAAAGCACAACACACACACCTTCGACATCTACCACTGTCCGGATACGACTCAGCACAGCCCAGGCTCTTGATAGGTCTCAATAATTGCAAAATAGGGCGCGTGCTTCGCACCAAGGAAGGCACAACAGAAGAACCGATCGCTGAGAAGACCCGCCTGGGGTGGACGATTAAAGGAAGAAGCTCCAACAGTGTGGGTGATGACATAACCCCAAACTACCACGTGTTTCACATATGTGCATGTGAAGCTGACGAGAACAAGGAGATCTTGCGCCTGCTTGAGCAGTGCATGTGGTCGGACGGCGGCCCTAGACCGGAGATGAATAGCAAGAGCGTATCCAATGATGACCAGTTGGCTATACAGCAGCTGGAGAAGAACACAAGGCGTATAAATGGCCGATTTGAAACAGGTCTGCTGTGGAGGTATAAAGATGACAAGCTGCCGGATAGTTTACCTACAGCCCTAAAGCGTGCACGATGCCTGTACCAGAAACTGACTCGCGAGCCGGAGCTTGCGAAGGGAATTCGCCGACAGCTAGATGAGTACGTGATGAAAGGATATGCACGGCCCATTACGTCGGAAGAAGGTGAGGAAAAGCCATATTGGTATCTACCTATCTTTCCCGTGCTAAACGTCAACAAGCCAGGAAAGCTTCGCATAGTCTGGGATGCGGCTGCGAAGACGGAAGGGATCTCGCTGAACACAATGCTGCTGAAGGGACCTGACCAACTAGCGCAGTTGGTACCAATACTTCACAGGTTTAGAGAGAAACGTATTGCTATCGGCGGCGATATCGCCGAGATGTTTCATCAGGTCAGGATACACACAGAAGATCAGAGATACCAACGCTTTGTATTTATAGACCCATACACACAACGGAGAGAGAACTACGCCATGCAGGTAATGACGTTTGGGGCTAGTTGCTCCCCCAGCTGTGCCCAGTACGTGAAGAACAGAAATGCAGAGTCGCTCAAGAAGGAATACCCACGAGCTGTTAAGTCCATACTGGAGAATCACTATGTAGACGACATGCTGGACAGCGTCGACACGGAGGAAGAAGCTATAAGCCTCGCGCGTCAGGTCCACTACATTCATCTTCAGGGCGGATTCCTCATTCGAAACTGGGTATCGAATTCCAGAGAAGTACTAAACGCACTCGGCGAAGGAGCACCCACGCTAGTGAGACTGGACGAAACAACGGATGGACAGACCGAGAAGGTGCTGGGAATGTGGTGGGACACGAAAGAAGATCTCATCCGCTACCGTGTATCCCCACGATATCGCCATAAAGAACTTCTCCAAGGAAGGCAACGACCCACCAAACGAGAGTTTCTCAGTGTGTTGATGTCTATATATGATCCTTTAGGGCTCATATCCTTCTACGTGATGTATGCAAAAATAATATTTCAGGAAATATGGCGAAGTGGATGTACCTGGGATGACCCCATACCTGAGGCAGAATGGATTAAATGGAAGCGATGGCTTCGGTATATCCCGGACGTTGAGAAAATGACCATCCCAAGATGCCACATGAAGGAGTCGCTGATGGATTCAGAAGTGGAGATGCACACCTTCGTGGACGCAAGCGAGAATGGATTTGCCGCCGTGAGTTATATACGATTTCAAAATGAGGCAGGTATCCACTGCAGTCTACTGGGCAGCAAAACCAAGGTAGCCCCTCTAAGACCGACATCCATACCAAGGCTTGAACTCATGGGAGCAGTGCTTGGAGCGAGGTTGGCTCAAACTCTGGAGCTTTCACTTGGCGCGAAGCTGAGCACACGGACTTTCTGGACCGACTCGAGGACCGTGCTGAGTTGGCTGCGATCGGACCAGAGGAAGTACAAACAATTTGTAGCATTCCGTGTAATCGAGATTCTAGACGGTACTAGCGTCAAGGACTGGCGCTGGGTACCTTCCTCCGAGAACGTGGCGGACGACGCCACTAAGTGGAACAAAGGACCTGATTTCAACCGAGAAAGTCGATGGTTAAACGGGCCGAGATTTCTTTGGCAAGAGAGGCAATTTTGGCCGCTGACAGAGGCGGAAGAAGGAGACGAGTCAGGAATGGAACTGAAGGCGCAATTCATCGGCGTATGTGACGGATTCACAGACGTAGGCCGCGCGACCCTCATAGACTATGAGCGGTTCTCAATCTGGACCCGTCTGCTATGGAGTACCGCAAGAACGGTATGGTGTATGAGGCGATGGAAGGCCAAGGCTCTACAACGATCGGACATCGAAAATCAGCCATCACAAGAAGATACCAGGGTCGCGGAGAGTCTTCTGTGGTCGTACGCTCAGGCGGAGTACTACCAGATGGAGATACGGTTAATCTTACAAGGAAAACCATTGAAGAAGAATAACCTACTATACAAGCTGGGACCGTATATGGATTCCGATGGCGTATTAAAGCTGGATGAACGTGCCAAGATGATCAAGGGAAGCGACCGCGTCGTACTCCCCTGCGGCAGCCACATTACGCAGCTCATCATAAAGGAATTTCACCGAAGATTTCTGCACGCTAACCACGAGACGGTAGTCAACGAACTACGACAAAGATTTTGGATACCAAAGCTGAGATCCACCCTTGCTCGGATACGACGCTCCTGCCAGCAATGCAAGAACCGACAGGCGGCCCCCAAACCACCGCGCATGGCGGAACTTCCCTATCCAAGAGTAGCAGCCTTTCATAGGCCTTTCAGCTACACGGGTGTGGACTACTTTGGTCCTCTGATGGTGCGGGTCAGACGCAGTTCAGAGAAACGATACGGCGTGCTCTTCACCTGCCTCTCTACAAGGGCAATACATCTAGAGGTAGCGTATTCATTAACAACTGACTCTTGTATTCTAGCGGTGCGCAGTTTTATGGCCCGACGAGGGTGCCCAGTGGAACTCTGGAGCGACAACGGCACCAATTTTCAAGGAGCCTGCACGGAGTTGCGTAGGGCGTTCGAAGATGTGGACAAGGATCTACTCTCTCGCGAGTTCACTGGACCCCAGATGACATGGAAGTTCATTCCACCCGCATCTCCCCACATGGGTGGGGCATGGGAGCGCTTGGTGCGTTCCGTGAAGACGGCGTTGGAATCTATCCTCCTTGACAAACGACCATCGGATGAGTTGCTGAGAGCCGCTCTAATGGAGGCGGAGGCGATCGTCAACTCGCGACCCCTAACATACATCCCATTGGAAGATGAGAACGAAGAATCACTGACACCGAATCATTTCCTGCTTGGAAGCTCAACTGGAAGAGGACCGACGATGGAGCCCATACCCGAAGGAGTGCAGCTCAAGAAAAGCTGGAGGGAATCACAACAACTGGCGGACTCATTCTGGAGGCGATGGCTTCAAGAATACCTGCCAGTGATCACTAGGCGGACCAAGTGGTGCGAAAAGGCTAAGCCTCTTGTAGAAGGGGATATCGTGTATGTATGCGATCCCGGACAGCCGCGTAGCCAGTGGCCGAAAGGAAGAATCCTGAAGGTGAACCTTAGCTCGGACGGTCAAGTGAGGAGCGCCGCGGTGAGGACCCAATCTGGCGTTTATACAAGACCCGCGACGAAGCTGGCAGTTCTATCTATCGAGAGTAGTTTGGTAGATCCCTGGCGGAATATACAAGTGGGGAGTGTTACGATAGATAGCAAAACTGCTCCCGCGGCATCCGGCAACGCCGAAGTTGCAGCGCTAAACAACTTCGAATTCCCGCAACACATCAAAAGTAATTATTTTTTTTTATCCTTTGGAACTTATGCAAATATTTTTATAATATGACAGGGAATTAAATTGAAACTTACCCGAAATATATTACATGCCAATGAAACATTTTCTGGATCATACATATGAATATGTGACGTCGGAATTTTGTCGGATTTAAAAAAAACTATCATATCGAATTTTGGGATTACATCATTGTTCTTTTTTCCCTTTCGAGTCAAAGTTGCCATAAGTGTACCATCAATTAAAATCTCATGTGTGTTAAAATAATTTTCTGCATATTCCAAAATGTTGTAGCCCTCTTCAATATAATTATTTTTTTGACCTTCTTCAATGATATTAATTTCTTGAATTTTTTTTTCCACTCTATTTTTTCGCCGCTGTTCTTTTTCTGGGTCGATTTCATGCTTATTTAATGTAGGAGTTATTGACTTTTTGTTTTTGTCCCCCAAATTAGGAAACTCGTTAATGTTATCATTTTCGTTATAATTATTTTTCAAATTGGTTAAATTTTCTGCGTTTATTGCTTCATATATCGGCTCTGGCGTTAGAACTTTGCCTTTAATAATTTCTTGATTTATCATAGTTGGTGGAGGCGGAGGACGCGTTGTTGGTTCGGGAAGTGATGGAACGCCCTTAGTAGCTAGACCCCTGTCTGATTCCTTGGAATTAATCGTCGATTCATTTTGACTAAAAAGTTCTAACTGAAAATAAATTAAACAAAACAGATTTTTTAGTTTTTGAGGTTAAATTTGTTTGTTATAATCTTTAATAAAAAAAGGAAACTTAACTATTATATTATAAATATATATTATTATACTATTATATTATATTAATATTATATTAACAACACTTATTTACTACATCCCTCTTTCCCCCGTCGCACATTTGAAATAAAAATCCGGACAAAATTATTTATTAGCATTTGTTTATTTTTTACTAGCTTATAATGTCTTATACTAACTCATAATAACTAACTAACTCAGTTCTTATACTAACTCATAATTTCGGATAAAAAAAAAAGGAAAATTTTGAAGAAAAAAAATAAAAAATTTAAAGAAATTTTTATGAAATTCAGTCAGTTAGAATCATCAGACTCGGTGCTATAATAATTCGTGGACCTTTCCATTAAAATAGACATTGCCTCCTAGGAAAGAGGTCTGCTTTTCTTCTTGTTATTGCCGATTTAATGAAAATTATGATCGCATACTTTGAAACACTAAAAATAAAATGGGGTGCGTTGGGGGGAAATGTTTTTTTCTTTTAAGTTATCGACAAATTTTATTCCTGCATAAAAAGTTCCAGGCGACAAGGCGCGACACATAAACAAAATCACTAATATATTGTAAATTTCATAAAAAAAAATTGATGAAAAACGCATTTTCTAAAATTGAATGAATAAATCAAAATATAATGAAACAAGAAAGGAAAGCTAACTTCGGGCGGAGCCGAAGTTTATATACCCTTGCAGCTAAAACCGGATATATATCGCAAACATCGGATATAGTTGGCCGATCCTTATGAGAATATGATAATATAACCCAATTTATTATAATACAAAAACCAAACCTAAAAATGTCCCAAACTTCTATCTTCAAAAACACAAAAGTTGGGTCATTTCCGATCGTTGAGTTATATGGCAGCTATAGGATATAGTCGGCCGATCCTTATGAAATTTGGCATGTCGTATTATTTTGCCAAAAATAGCTCTCATGTCAAATTTGAACTCTCTAACTCTAAAAACACCAAAGTTATACCATTTCCGATCAATCAGTTATATGGCAGCTATAGGATATAGTCGGCCGATCCGGGCCGTTCCGACTTATATACTGCGTGCAAAGGAAAGAAGGGTGTGTGCAAAGTTTCAAGACGATAGCTTCAAAACTGAGAGACTAGTTCGCGTAGAAACGGACAGACAGACGGACAGACGGACAGACGGACATGCTCATATCAACTCAGGAGGTGATCCTGATCAAGAATATATATACTTTATAGGGTCGGAGATGTCTCCTTCACTGCGTTGCACACTTTTGGACAAAATTATAATACCCTCTGCAAGGGTATAATAATCTTTTGTCTCAAAAGTTGGCATAACCATTATGTAAAAGTTCGAGGGGTTCAAAGTTTGGAGATTTATTGATGATAGCTATGATAGACATATTCGATAATAAAACTTGATAAGTCGTATTATTTTGCCAAAAAATAGAATCCATAGAAAATCCCAACTTTCTAGCTCGAAAAATACCAAAGTTATGCCATTTCCGATCAATCAGTTATATGGAAGCTATAGGATATAGTCGTCCGATCCTTATGAAATTTGGCATGTCGTAATTTTTTGCCAAAGATAGCTCACGTGTCAAATTTGAACTCTCTAACTTTAAAAACACCAAAGTTATACCATTTCCGATCAATCAGTTATATGACAGCTATAGGATATAGTCGGCCGATCCTTATGAAATTTGGCATGTCGTAATGTTTTACCAAAGATAGCTCTCGTGTCAAATTTGAACTCTCTAACTCTAAAAACACCAAAGTTATACCATTTCCGATCAATCAGTTATATGGCAGCTATAGGATATAGTCGGCCGATTCCAGTCGTTCCGACTTATATACTGCGTGCAAAGGAAAGAAGGGTGTGTGCAAAGTTTCAAGACGATAGCTTAAAAACTGAGAGACTAGTTCGCGTAGAAACGGACAGACAGACAGACGGACAGACAGACGGACAGACGGACAGACGGACATGCTTATATCAACTCAGGAGGTGATCCTGATCAAGAATATATATATTCTTTATACTTTATAGGGTCGGAGATGTCTCCTTCACTGCGTTGCACACTTTTGGACAAAATTATAATACCCTCTGCAAGGGTATAAAAATAACTTATAAAATGATTTTTATACAGTACTTACTTTCTAATTCCATGATCAAGTCGTTTTTTTCCACTTGTCCGCTAGACGAATTTATTTTTGAACACAAAACTACTGCGAATATACTAAAGCACCAAAAACAAAGACACGCAAAAAGCACAATAACGTACTTGCGAACACCGTTGTCACCAAGTAAGTGGACTGTGGCGAAAGGGGGGTCTGTTTATAGAAGAGGCGGTTATTAGAGATAAGGAAAAGTGCCGTTTTGATGAGCTTAAAAGCACTTCACGATTTTCAAATTTGTCCGGCTTTTTTTTGATAAATACTCCTATGTGCGTCGTACAATATCTTTAGGACCTTTTATCGTTATTTTCGAATCACTCCATAAAAAACTTGAGCAGAAATTCGACTATATTTTCTTTGGCTTCTTGAAAAACGAGCGCAGGAATCCCCAAAAAACAATTAGTAAGTAAGTTCCCACAATGATATACATAAATCCACTGCTTAACGTGGACGCTTAAAATTTATAGCGAGGTACAGATATTTCGCAACTTTAATAAGTTATCATCGACCAGCACCAGCAATGTAAGAACTCCGATCACTCCTATAAAGAACCAATCAAGTTGGGGTCCCTAATGCATTTTTTGAATTTCAAATTCAGAATATTTTTTATGCCAAGAGGAAGACACTAAAACCGAAACACTAAAGCCTTAACCAAATCAATAATTTAGCTGGCAAACTATGAAAGTTTTCATCTTTTTTTTGGATGTCCAAATCGTTAGACTTATAACGCACACAACTCAAAACCTGGAAGCTTTTTTTTTTTTTTATTTATTTCGAAATTTTATTTTGAAGATTGTTGGCAATCTTGGCAGCTTAATATAATCGGTTTTTACATTTTAAACATTACTTAGTCTAAGCGTTACTTAGGGCTTAGAAGTGATTTCATGGTTTTTATACCCTTGCAGAGGATATTATAAATTTGGTCAAAAGTGTGAAACGCAGTGAAGGAGACATCTCCGACCCTATAAAGTATATATATTCTTGATCAGGATCTCCTCCTGAGCATATCTGTCTGTCTGTGTCTACGCAAACTAGTCTCTCAGTTTTTAAGCTATCGACTTGAAACTTTGCACCCACCCTTCTTTCTTTGCACGCAGTATATAAGTCGGAACGGCCGAGATCGGCCTACCATATCTTATAGCGGACATATAATTGATTGATCGGAAATGGTATAACTTTGGTGTTTTTAGAGTTAGAGAGTTCAAATTTGCCAATTTTTTTAAGGATCGGCCGCCTATATCTTATAGCTGCCATATAACTGAACGATCGGAAATGGTTTTTGGTAGAAATACAAACTTTGGTATTTTTGAAGATAGAAGCTTGAGACTTTTTTTTTTTAGATATTCTATTGTAATTAATTGGTTTTATTATGATATTCTCATAAGGATCGGCCAACTATATCCGATGTTTGCGATATATATCTGGTTTTTACTGCAAGGGTATATCAACTTCGGCTCCGCCCGAAGTAGCTTTCCTTTCTTGTTTTTATTATGTTTATGTTGAGGATGACAAAATGGCTAGGTCAAGATCCGGTCTGGTAGGTCTTGAGGGTGGTGTCTTTTCAGTGTTCTCTTGACTCGATTACCTGTATCAGTGCTCCTGATAGCAGCGGTACCAAGTTTTTTCGGCTAGGCTGTTGGGGTTCTCATTTAATCGTTCCATGTATTTCCGAGCAAGTTCCTGCAGCTTTTCTCCTAGTTTGGGCACGATGACATCTCGTTCGATGTCTCTGGTTCTCATAAACCACGGAGCTCCAGAGATCCTTCAAAGAGTTTTCGTTTACAAAACCCGGATTTTTTCAGGTTGGTTTTTGCAGCGATACCATAAACCTGAAGTCCGTAAAAAAGACTTGGCGCTTATATGGACTTGTATATCTGCACCTTACATCCAAGTGCGAGCTTGTTGGGTGATGTGAGGAGCCAGGACATCCGAGCCACTTTAGTCCTGAACGAGTTTTGGATACAAGTAATGTGCCTGACAAATGTGAGTGTTTAGTCCAAAGTGACACCGAGGTACTTGTATGCAGGTAGGACTCTGACTGGACTATCATTGAGATTGACTTGGCAATTGGTA